GCTGTAAATCCTGGCTTAAAACCTTTTTTCACAATTGTTTATGGTGTGTGTTTGTGCTTTCACCAATCACAGGAGAATGACCCCAGAACACCAGCCTTGAAATTATTATTATTTCAAATAGAGTTATGTGCTTTCAGTATTAGTATTTTACATTAAATGCCTTGGGACATGTTGTAGGTAAGTCCGTTGTTGCCACATAACTGCGATTAGTAAGTAATGATGCCAGATTCCAGTGAAAACCAGGGAGAGCCAAGAGCTCACAAATGGTACCAGCTGCGGAGCTGGGACTCTGCATGGGGCTTGTACCTGGCTATTTGATAAGCATGTATTTCTTGGCCATCGATCCATGCTGCTACAAGCCCAAATCATGTGGCTTATCAAAAGAGCATGGGGCAGGCCATCAGGAGCTGAACTGGTTGCTACTCCGTTATGGAAGCGTGTATTAGTGGGAGTTGTTCTGTCTTCCATTTCTTCTCCTGACCAGGAAAAGCTGACCTGCCAGGAGTACCCTTGACACTATCGGAAGCCACTGGTGTCACACCTCGCACTTCCTCCTTGATGCCATCATATTCTGTCTTTAGTGATAGTTTTGAGCCAAATAGAGGTTTTGCTACGGCAAATGCATAATTTAATAAAATCACCTGTGCATGTACAACCAGCACTTCATTACTTAACCCTGTGAGGACAGACAGACCATCCTGGTTTATTTAGCTGGATGGCATTGATCTGTGTAGGAATTTGAGTCTCATTAACATACAAAGCATGTGCTGGGCACGATTTTTGTTCTGGCTCCCGGCTGAAAAACTGAATTGCTGTAAAAAGTATGCAACCATTTATAAATAATTAATTACAAAAAGCTGATAGAGCCTAGAAATTGAAACGATCCAAAGATGTACCATAGAGCAAAGAGTGAAAAGCATTTTAAAGGCAGCTATGTGCATACATGGGAGAAGTAACAATATCTTGTATGTGGTGCAGTTAGTCTCTAGCAGTGAAGTCCTGCATGGATATGGCAACTTGTAAACCAAGAGAACAGACCTAATTTCTTATTCTTGGAGGACATGGCTAGGAAGATATTGGCTACTACTTTTCAGGTATGACATGGAAATTATGAGTAAGGTTGGTCTCTCTCCTTTTCCTGCAAGCTGCTAAAACTTATGCAGGGAGACCAGCTTCCTTCCTTACATCTGTAGGTGGTTCTTCCATGTGAAATGTCTAAAAAGAAAGAAAATTTAGCAACTAGGTCAAAGTTTAAAACATGGAGTTAATATTCTAATCTTTTATTGGCTTCTACATTAATCAAAGCATGCTGTGTAAGTAGGTTGAGTTGTGTGGGTTTTGTATCTTTATATACTTTAGAAAGCTTTTGCATGTGGCAGGGCTATACTGTCTCATTTGACCACATGAAAATGCTTTTAATATAGATTTTTATAAAACATAAAAAACTATATCTCCTGAATTGGAATGGATTTTATTTTTGTTGTTTTTTTTTTTTCCCTGAACAGATTGCCTGTTCGCGTAACTCAATTATTAAAAACTGAAATACCTAATTTTACAAAATGTTGGCAACAGCGTAGAGCAGTCAGGGTATTAATGGTGCTGAAACGTACCTCTGAGCTTCACAAAACCAAAAGTAGCTTTGAAAAAATTGCTTTCTGCAGAAGCTAAATGCCCTCTAGAGCTCACCAGGGGAAGCTCGGGTAATCATCAAGAACTTCCTTGTTCTGGGGTAGCTCCTGATAGCCAGTGTCTTGAAGATGTATTCAAGCACTCAGATCATCCGTGTGCTCTGATTGTCTGGACTAAAAAATATCCGTGTGCTCTGATTGTCTGGACTAAAAAACGAGCGATGATCAATGTTTTACATCACAATAAATATATCCTTCCAGTTATCAAAGGAGCTGATATTAAAATACAGATAAACAAAATAATAGTTTCTGGTCAGAACACCTTAGTCTAAAAACTGAGGGAAAACCAAATGCACTGAGAAATCCAGTCAATGAAGTAATTCTGACTTTTATGATGGTGTCAAAACACACGGATATTACAGCGCAGCAATCAATTTGAAGGGATTTGAGTCTTTTGCAGTTCCCTTTCTTTACCCCTGCACAGCTGGTTCTTACTCTTGCCCAGGTACTCCGAAGCCCAGAAAGGAGAATGCAGAGAGACAGGGTGGGAGCAGCCAGAGGTGAACATCATTTACAGCCACAGGGTCAGACAAACTGCAGGGAACTGAGCAGAGGAATGAACACGTCCTGGCTGAAAAGAAGTATTTAAAGCCAACCCACCATCTTTATGGGGTATTTCCCAGCTTGATTCACACTCTGATCTGAGGAGGCTGTGGTCACACATCTCCTCTCACTGTGGCTGAACCAGCAGCAGAGATGAGTGCAGCCTGCCTAAATACTTGCTGCTGTGCTCTTGCTGGAGATTGCTATCTGTCTCTGCACCTAGACATTGTTCCTTTATTTTGAACAGTTGTTTCAGCCTAAGCTGCTTTATTTGACTTAAAACAGTTTAAGAAACCGTGACTACTTTGACCAAGCCGAGTGAGTGGGTTATGCTGGCAGTTGGGGATGGTAGTTTGCAGTAGAGAGGCAGAGAAGGTGGAAAGTGGCTGGGGCTGTAGAGGAGTTAAACTCTGGCTGGCTTTGCTGCAGCTGGAGCAGGATGTGTGACTGCAACCCTGGGCAACGAGCAAAATGCCCTTTCTTTACCAGTAAGCCACTTGTAGGCCAGAGTTTTTTCTCTCAGCTACACGGTAAGCTCTTTCCTCTACTGATCTCACACAGGAGGCATGTGGAACAAGGAAAGAGGAGAGCAACTAGCCTACTTCGCTTGGTTGCCTAAGCACAGATATAAAACCTGAAGATTGGAAAGCTCAGTCTGAAAATATTGGCCTGTGGTTTTAGCAGCTCTGTCCAAAATCCCTCAGTACTGCTCAGTAACGTTTCACCACACTTTACTTAACATCTCCTTTCCTTTTGCCACATTTCTAGGGGCTCTAAGGAGGATGCAGGAATAATTTCTCCCTTACTGTGTAAATATAACTTGACACACTTTTCCTAAAACTGCGCCATGAATGACTGCTTCCCTGCTGTGGCTTTTCATTTCTTCTGAGCATCCTCAAAAGCACTGAGTGCTCTGCACAGCACACATCCAATTCTGTTGCACAAGGCAGTCTCAGGCTGAGTCAGGCACGGGAGTCCAAATGAGCTGCAGACACTGTTTTCCGTGGAAGTGCGCTTCAGAGAAAAGAGGTGTTGGCACTTACGTTGCGAAGTTTGCATTATGTAGCTGATTAAACATGAAGGCTATAAGCAGAGTGCTCGGTCATGCTGCTGCCTGGGAATTTATTATCTGGGAACCTTAGCACAGAATTGCTTAAAAATAAAAATTACCACTCGCACTGGTCTATCCGAGATTTTGCAATGTTTAGCGAGGCAGAAAAGGGCTGGATTTCTTTTGCAAGTTTGGTTGTTTTCCTTCTGGGGTTTTCTTCGTGAGCTGCTATGCAGTGCCTGTGCTGCTGGGGCTCACCTGCCACCCACGCACAGCTGAGGCTTTGAAAACTGCCATGAGCATTCAGAGCAGCTGCAACCTGCTGCACCGCAGTGAGGTTCACGAAAATACACGTTGAAAAGGTCTTTCTCTTAATCATCGTGTCCTTGTGAGGGAATTATGGCCAGTTAAAGTGGTAAAAGAGATGACAAAACCGTTGGGTACTCTGTTTCTTTGAATTCACACTAATTGCTATATTGGTTATTAAACAAAAAAAAAAGCAAAATGTTAATATGAAGAAATATCTTTCTGCAGAGAAGAAAAATCATGTGATGTGTTCTAGTGCTTCAGGACCTTCCAGCTTTAAAAATCCTGGTCTTGGTTCTTTGTGTAAAAGTTATGTTTTTCTGTGCCATAGGTCTAGCTCTCGAAACACATCAGATATCTTGTTTCTGCTGTGAAACTTTTTTTTTGGTGCAAGCAGCCTTCATGACAGCTCTTGAAACTGCTGTTAAATTCCAGCTTGTCCAACTACTAGGCAGCAAGTCAAAAAAAAGCTCTTGAGTTTTACTTGTCCGTGTTTTCTACTGTTGGTATTTTATTTTAGTACCTTTGCAAATGATTTGGCATTCATGCTTGATGAAAATACTTTTCTGTTGTAGTCTCTGTGTTGTAAATACTGTAAGTTAATCATTTCATGCTATCAGCATGAAATTCACTGCACTTATTTACCGTTATGATTAGGATAGATGGGTTTGTTTATTGGATAGTTTTATCAATTGCCCTTCAAGAATTTCCTCAGAACCTGCGGTGCGATCCCTGTGGATTGCCTGTCTAAACTGCAATAACTGATAAATTCTTACTGCTTTCAGTTTTTCTGGTAGTTCAAATGAAGAATTTCGTATTTTCTGCCCAAATCAAGAAGTAATCTTGCTATAACAGGTTGGTAATACTTTTGAACCTTGCAGTTTGCTTTCTGGCCATGCATTACTGATATTTAGAGTTGATTTAAGCTTATTAGCCAATGAAGGTATGAGCTTGCAAAAGACATGAGTATTTGTTGAAAACTCAGGTTGGGTCTAAGGCTTTTTAAGGTTTGTTTTATTTATACCTTGGTCCATTCCCTGAAAGTCACATTCCATCACTGTGGTGTATCAAGTCAATCAGCCCTAATTACTGGTTAGTTCTGTGAGTGTGGAGCAAGCCCTTAAGTGCACGTAAGTTCTGTGTGTCCTTAGCAGAGAGACTGAAGAAAAAGGATTCTTCGGTCAAACAGATATCATTTTAGTGTTCACAATAGAGTTCACAACACAGCAATTTTTACAGGATACGAATGTTTTTAAAAAGAACTTTCAGGGAAAGAAATTTGAAAATGCATGTCAGGTATCTATTACAAAGCATTTCAGAAACAAAATGTGCCATCAAAACACTTTGTCAACTGAGCACCTAGTTTTGGAGTTCAGAACCAGTTTAACCATTTTGATTGCATTTTGTTAAAGTCGAATATAAAATTCTTGAAACTGCTGGTGGATGGGTAGGGTTGAGGACAATGACAGTCTTCATATAATCCCCAAAAGGGCTACTTGGATTTTGTAGACATAAGGTAGTAAAAATCATAAAGACAACTTGTTTAAATATTTTAAATTAATTTCTGCCACAAAGCACTTAGACATTGCCTGCGTGACACTGCTTTAATGCTCTCTGATTGTGTACCAGGAAGGAAGGGAGCAGGAGCTTGGTGCACGACTGGCTCTGCTGTCTGTGTTGTCACGTTCAGAAGACAGCTCACAAATGTACCTTCTCTGCACTTCCATGTTTTGGTGTAAGGTTTAACATTGCTATTTCTTTCTAAGCAGGTGTGAAAGTAAAGAGCTTGATGTTGAAATAAGGAACCTGATAGAGAAGAATAACACTTACCAGTCATGTGAGGACCCTGAACCTGTTGCCCAACAGAGTCCAAACCCTCAGAGAACTTCATGTTCCCTTAAGGTAAATGCAGTCTGCTTTTGCAATGTATATCTGCCAGGAAGGAACATTCAGGGGATGTTCCTTGGGTGACTTGATTATGCATGAAACTTTTTTATTTCTGAAATGATGCAATGAACTTGCTACACTTTTTTTTGTTCTGATGCAGCTATTTTCTGTTATGAGGAAGACTGAGTGAGAAGATATGTTTTATAGTGCTTTGAAAGGTCAGCTAAACCCACTGATTATCCAAAGTGCCACCCTCTGTAGCCAGCTATGCCTTTTGGGTAACACACTTCCACAAAACTTTGTACTCAAGAGCGCTGACATTTCTTTAGGTTGTTGCATTTGGTAGTCCTGATTTAACTGAGGATGAGCAGTGGTGTGGGGGACAAAGATCTTTGGGAGTATCAGAAAGGCTTTTAGATAAATGGGAAGAAAGAATTAAAATGATGATTCAAACCCACACTTCTGTGATATTAAAAACAGAAAACTGTAAACCACCTGCTAAGATGGTCATCTTTGCTTGCAGTAAAGCAGTGGTTAACAAGCATGACAGAAACTTGTTCTAGGTTTCCCTCTCAGTTTCCGTCCTCTCCCTTGAAATTGCAGGCTGCTTTTTATTTTGCAGTAGGAGGACAAAAGGAAATTCCTGGTTTTTGCAAACTGGGAAAGGGGGGAGTGAGAGGTGTGGAGGAGTGATTAAGCCATGAATGCCATCCACCTGCAAGGGATGCAATATTTACCTGACTGTGTGACTCCACTACAGGGTGGAGAGGAAGGAAACCTCTGAAAGCTGTGCCCGGAGGTGCGATGCAGGAAATTGATGAGGAGGGAAAGGAGAGATGACTCTCTTCTATGAAATCTGAAATTACACATAGCTCCTTTCACATGTAAACCGCCATCTCCAAAATGACTCATGACCTCGGGGCATGAAGCTGAGCTGAACCTAAGGAGATGTCTCAGAGTCAGACTAGTGGGATTAGAAACAGTGAGAGAGAAGCCACAGGGAGGAACGGGGATTCCCGGCCCCAGGGGAGGAATAAGCAACAGTGAAACAGAAGTCAGTGCAGAATCAAGTAGCATTGAGCTATGAAATTACAGGGCAGAAGAGCAAGCTGTAAATGGCCTGTGGAAACACCTTGTCCCCCATGTTAGCCTCCCTCCAACAGAAGGAGATGTAGGAATGCATTTGGAGGATGTGGGGAGGAAAAAAGAAGGATGTGCTCACCTCAGCTGTTTCCATGGAGTGCTTCAGCACTTCTCACTGAATTCCGTGGCAGTATTTCATCTGTAGTGCTTTTGCACTTTTTGCATTCATAGCACTTGTTTGCCCATGAAAGATATGTGTGTGTGTGATTTTCATAGGTTAAAGGAGGAAAGTTAATTATATTTCTGCACTAGAAATATACTGCCTGTTTTTTATTTATACTTTTTAAGTCAAACAACTTTTCACTTGGCTGGTTATTGACTTGGACTTCAAGTGAGTGACAGCTTGACAGTTGTGATGATAAGCTTCAACAAGCTCAGTATAAGATTCTAAGAGTACATGTATTGGATTGTGTGTTTTGGAAAACAAGGTAATATTTTTAACAAACCTAGTATACTTTCAATTACAAAGATTATAAAATAGTATTCAAAAAAACTACACAAAAAAAAACCCCAAAACAACAGAAAGTGTCAGTTTGTGAAATGAAATGCTGATTTAGACTGAGAATGAGGGGAAAAGTCTATATTTAGGTATTAGGAAAAAGTTAATAATGAAACAAAAGTGTACCTTTCCCTATAGTGTTGGTCATTCGTCAGGAAATTATTTGGCAGATCCAGCAAGTCATTTCTATTGTGCGGCTTTTTTTTTCTGGAGTGAAGAGTGTAAATTGCATACTGCAAAATGCCATTTTCTTCTGAGCTTGAATCACTTTCAAGACTGTTATCTGGAAATGTCTGTTTAAAAAATTCTGTCTTTCACCAGGACTTCTTTTCCATAGAAATACATGCTATTATTATGGTTTTAAATGCAAATATTTGAGAGAGAGAAAATGTAGGTCTACAGAATGGACTAGTCTCAGTGCATCCTTCAGCCTGTGATTCCTTTATCTGTAGTACTTACATTGTAGCTTGTTATGATGCTATGTTCCCTGCTCTGGGAGACGGAGAAGAGGGAGGAGATTACAGAGAAACATCCTTACAGGCAGGTAACAGTAATTAGAGCCTCTTTGGTGTACTGGAGTCCCTGACAGCCACGTATGGTTCGTTGGTGTAAGATAAGGGACTTGAGTGCCTATGTCCCTACGTGTAGTTTGTCTAGTTGGGCAAACCATCTGAGTTTTTTTAAGTGTTAAGCTGAAATGAGAGGCGAGACCTTAGTGTGGCATCGTTATTTTACAGTGATTTAACTCTTCTTAGTTTAATGAAATGTATTTACTTTTGCTAGAGGCATTGACCGAAAAAGGGAAACTTATGATGAAGTCTTTTACTGATTAGAACAATTGATAATTTCTAACTCACATTGACTTATCTATTCCCCCTGTCTTCTCTAACATCACTTACTGCTGCGATGTGCAGCAGGAGTGTGTGTGAATGTGAATGGTTGCAAGCTCCAGTCCTGTGGAGGCCATAATCTCTGAAAATGCCTGTCCTCAAAACATACCTCAAAGGAACAGTGTTCCTTGTTCTGTCTGCTACAGAGGAGGAAACTGAAGGCCAAAAGGATGAAGCAATTTGCTATTTTAATGTAAGAAACAAAGAAACATATTTCTTACCACAAAAAAGCAGCTTCCTTTTTCAAATTTAAGTATAAAACTGATTGCATTCAACTGGAATAAGCTAGACTGAATATTATGCATCAAAATACAACTATTACTAAAAAGTACTCATGCAGAGCGTTTTCGGTATGTTTAGAGCTTCATTAAGATGTTACACACAAGAAGGATGTTTTCTGGGGGAGGTGAGGGCGGATAAAAGTATCAAATAGGAAGGGAAGAACAGCAACTAAAATAATCAGCGATATGTTAGTATAAAGTTCACAGAGGTAATCTATTTTATGGGGTCAATTGGTTAAAAAAAAAATACCTAATAAACTTTCAAGCACCTAACATGTTTTGGGTGTGAAGTGAGAAAGAAGAGGTTTTCATTTAAGCGCTATCTGTACTTGCAACAAGTATGTTGTAAAACTCAAAATAGCTTGTTTGCTACAGTTACAAATCATCTTCCAATTATTGTTCCATGAAACTGGAATTTTCTTCATGAGGCCTGAGTTTGCAAATGCTTAGGTACTTGAGTAGCCATGTCCTTATGGTTAGTCTCATTGGCGATGATGGAAAACAGTGGGTAAAGGAAATCCTGAAACAGAAGGCCGTGCTGCGTTTTACTTACTCTGAAACCACATCTTGCTCTAATTGTATCCGGTTCCCACATATAAAGGCACACGTTTGCATCTGCACATATTTTTCTGTCAGAGTGAGTACCTAACTGAATGATCCAAAATGTTGAGGCTGACATACTTAAGGGAAAATCCCTTTCTAGCACATTCCTCTGGGTATAGCACATGGATCAGGTTTAGACAGGAAGAGGTAGATTGTTCTTCTGGTTTAAGAGCTGATTTTTATTCTTCAAGTAAAATCTCTCAGTTTTTACCATTTCACCATGTGAACCAGAGTGGGAAAAGGGGTTGCAGTGGATATGGGAGCAAGCACTGCTGGCATAATAAGAGCTTCAGGAATAAAGCCAAAAGCAAAGCTTAACCAAATTGTAAGCAAACAGAAGATTCCCCAGAAGCCACCAAATTTTAACCCAAGTAATCTCAGGGTAAATCTAGCTTCTACAATTCTGCAACTGAACAGTACAATAAATAAACAAACAAACAAACCCCAACAAACCTCACAGGAGATACCTGATTGGGTAGGAAGGAAAAATAAAAGATTACTTTACCATTTTGTCATCATCAAGGAAACATCCCCATTTACTTGAATCAAGCACTTTAATGGTTCTTGGTTTCACTGCAGTTACTGGAAAGATGGAATTTTCAGAAGTGACAAGTGGCTTTTGTTATCTTAATTTGTGAGTGCCGATTTTGTAATACTGTAACAGAAGCCTTTCCCAGAATAAATATCCAACACTGAAAAATGAGAACTTTTGTATTCTTGTGACACTGATGCTTGTGAGAGGAATCAGTGTTGGCCACAGCTCCTAGGATTTGATTTTTCTCTCGTTGCAAGCTCCCCAAAGATGACTAAAAGGCTTTTACGCTCAGAAAGGTCAGGTCTTCCTACAATACAAACTAAAATAATTTTCATTTTTAAACGGGGGAAAAACCCCCAACCTCAAAGCTGCTACTATTAGAAATTGCAGAATGTCAATAGAAGTAGAATAGAAATTAATAAAAGGCTTCTAAGAAGTTCAGCCCACTTTGCCTTTGCAGGCAGGATTGCACATTGCCACTTGTGAGTTAACTTGGTGAATTTCTGAGGGGCAGCAAATCCTGCCTGCTCCCATTTATTTCCTGGAAAGCTTTTTCCATCTCTGGCAGCCGACTGGCTTATTCGTGTTCCTCACAGCATCTCTCTACAGGAGCTTCTGACTCCCAGCGCCCTGCCAGGTGTTCCTGGCAGCCACACTCCAAAGTATCTGAAACTTTCTTCCCTGAGTGTGCTCAAACTGATTGCCATAAAAGAGGATATTGGAGCTGCCTGATAAACTTAGAAAAATACGTGGCTGGTTCTCTTCTGTCATCATTGCCTATAGCGTGGACAAAAATCATAAATGCCATGGATAATGCTTCATAGGCTGAGTATGTGAGTATGAATGGGGAGAAAAAAGTAGTGTGAAGAGCACAAGAAAGATGGATTAAGGTCTTACTAAGAATTCATGCATTAAAAGAGTTTAAATGTTTTATGATTCACAGACATTACAGAATGTTTAAATGTTTTATGATTCACAGACATTATAGAAGGTTTCAGACTATTAGTTAAATTTGCAGGTGCGGGTTTGCTCGCTATCATATTTTCTTAATACATTTAATCATGCTTTTTCAGTCACTGTAATAGAGACAGACCAGTGGAAGCCAAGGAACAGAAAGGCTCATGTGGACATTAAGGAAGCATATTTATAATACACATAGGAGAAAAATTATCAACCACTCTTCTGGGAGGAGCCAGGTCCGACCAGATCTCCAAAGACAGAGAGTGATCATTCTTGTTGTATTAAGTTTATTTTCTTAAGCTATCGAACTTCAGTTGCCTGTCTGGAGAGCAGACTCGGCTCCATTTCTCTCCTTTGTTTTCCATGCTTGCTTGAACTATGCTCAGAAAAGTTTATTCAGTGGTGGTTGATGCTACAATTACACATCACAGCCCGGCAGCAGGATTAATGACGTTTTGTTTCCTCATTTGGGATGGATAGAAGGAATGTGTGAAGGAAGTTACTTTCTGGAGAGAGAGTGGAAGGAGAAGTAAGGTATGAGAAATGAATGAGAAGACAACAACAGTTACTTACGCTCTTGCTCTGTAAGAGCAGACCCATGGACCCCAGCTAGACAGAGGCCTGTATGTCTGTGAACTTCAGGGAGGCTTTAAAAAGTACCACAACTCCGTCCGCTGCAGGCTATGTGTGGTTTTACATGTGTTTATGGAGAAGTCGGAGGCAGTTTTGCTGTAAGAGGTTGCCAAGTCTGTTTCTCCACTCATAGACTATTCCCTGCAGTCTGTTTTCTTGTGATTTTTTTTTTTTTTTTAGTGTAACTGGTAAATGTCATGACACAGACTGACTTGCTCATTTAGAGAGGAAGAGATGAAATAATCAGGGAAATTAAGGTTCATGCAAGCATTAGATTGGGATTTATAAAACTTGCTGACCAGTTTGTCACTGCTGTTACATCGCATTTAGCAAGTCTTAATTTTGCATGTTAGTGGCTAAAGTAGGTCTGATTTCACCACAGTGAAATCTGATTTTTAATTGTCTATGACAAGAGAGTGACTAGACTTCCCCCACAAGCCCTTTACTGCAATGTTAAAGATGATGCTGATTTGCATGGCAATGTCCAGTACGTTACGTAATCAGGGGTGCTGCCCGTGTCTGAGGTGCCACTTCAGTCCATGGCTGCACGGGTGGCTCAGGCAGCTCCTGGGGGGCGCTCACCTTTGTTAGCACCCATGGATGTCCTCTCAGCACTGCTGACATCATTCCCACTGTGCAGAACAGGCACGCTTAGTTTCTCCTCAAGTATCTTCTCTGCTTTTCTGTAGACGTTTACCAAACAGTGCAATGCCTAGAAAAAATACACTGCCTTGCCTTTGGACAACGCTGCTAAGACAGTGGTTTCCTTCAAAATTTACTTTCCTGCTGTTTTGTGCAGACCTGTTCATACTTTAGCATTCATTTGGTCTGTTTCCCTCTGTGTATAAAAGGGTTATTAGAATCATAGAATGGTTTGGGTTGGAAGGGACCTCAAAGATCATCTCGTTCCAACCCCCCTGCCATGGGCAGGGACACCCTCCACTGCACCAGGTTGCCCAAAGCCTCATCCAATCTGGCCTTGAACACTTCCAGGGATGGGGCATCTACAACTTCTCTGGGCAACCTGTTCCAGTGCCTCACCACCCTCTGAGTGAAAAATTTCTTCCTTATGTCTAATCTAAATCTGCCCTCTTTCAGTGTAAGCCATTGCCCCTTGTCCTATCACTACACGCCCTTGTAAAAAGTCCCACCTTATTGCCCACCTTTGCAAAGAGCTTCGAAGTCGTTAGATGGAAGCTTTGATTTACATAAACTTTTAATAATATTATAATACTTGGTCTTGTTTTTAAAATGCATGGTACTTCCTTTTCCTTCTTCACTATGAGGGTTTTGCAGTTTAACTCGGGTACCACAGTGTGTTTACTCATTTTAGAAGCTGGCCTTCTCGCATGTCTGTTTCCCAGAGGATGGCCTTCCTGTTTCACTCTACCTTGCTTTGGTAGTACAGAGTTTTACTTTGTTTCATTGCCTGACAGTTATTGGCTCGTATTTCTTACAATATGTTAATCACTACAGAAATGTCAAGAAATGCAGTTGTGGAAATTGCTGTTATTAACGAGTAGTTCTTTCTTCTTTAAACCAATGCCGTACCTGGGAGGGATATGCTCAAAGACTAGTTTTGCTATAGGTGCAGATGAAATTCTTTTCTTTTTTTGATGGGTAAGATGGTTTCTATGTAGAATCTCAAACGTCTTTATTAAAATAACTTTTTTTTTTTTAATTTCTCACCTTATACCCCACGAGTTTTTCAGCCGCTCCATAAACCAGGCAAAAATAAGAACATCATCAGGATAGGGAGGATATATTTCATATTCAAATATTATAACATAGTAGCTTGCTCCTAAATTGGGTTTTGTATCTTGCAAAAGAGGAGTTGCTTAGTCACACATTATGCACCGCAGATCTGGAATGGGTCGGTTAAATTCGAGCATTTCACAGGATTACTTTACTTTGTCTAAATTCTGTTTTGGAAATTGAAAGAACTCCCACAGATGTATATTATTTTATGTCAAATTTCACAGGCTAGCTTTCATTCCATTCCTTGAAAAGCAAATAAACAACCTATAACCTCACTGAAAAAAACTCAGACTCAGGGATCTATCCGTGATAAGGAGAATTATTTTTCTTTCATGCTTCCTTCTCAAATCCATCATTATTCAGAATTCCAAGGCTGGAGATGACAATACTTTGCAATTTTCTAGTGTGTCCTGACTTTGTATGTGAAGTCTGTGGAAGCCTTTTCTTTGTTAATTTTTCCCGTGAATGTAACTTGCTAATGTTAACCTTTTTTTTCCAAATGGGAAACTGAGACACAAGTTTGAAGTGTGGGATACCTTGCATGCTTAAGTAAAGACTTGAGTAGCTTGAAGCTAGATCCATGCTTAGGTAAGGTAAGTACTAGAACTGCAAATACGATGTCCTTACGAGAAGAATAATAACACCTGTTAGTCCTCATCTTTGTGCAGCTTTTCTTCAGGGAAAGTAAATCAATTTTCCAGTTCTGATTTTCCCCTAAACATCTTGGGGTTTGTATGGGTGTGCTCTTCCCCATAGCTATTAACAGACTTCACTATTACTCCTTCGTAAGCACGACTCACTAATTTTTGTATCATGATAGTTCACACTGCCTTAGTGTCACTTAATACTTGTCATACTTACGTAAGTCATTTTTTACAACTGGAAGCAGGGATAGAAAACCCTGTCCTCTTATTTACTGAAAAAACATACTGTTCCTTCCCTTATACATGCAACTTCCTCTCTGGGGGTGAACTGGCCAGTGGATTGCGACTTACATGCACAATAAGCAGAGTACTGCCTTGCCCGGCATATTAGTCATAGGCAGTGTGCTTAAACCCTTCTGGGAAGCCCCAGCCAGGAAGGAGGAAAAGATTAAAATCAAAATTCCACCACTTATTTCTGAACCTCGGCAGCACTTGTGGATCTTCTGGATCTTAATGCAATTCTCCCCCTCCTTTAGCCAACATAAAATATCTGTTGCATTGCTGTTCTTCTTTCAAAGACCTGTAGTGAAACAAATGCTCAAGGCCGTCTTGGATGCACGCGGGCCGGTGTGAGTGACATGGAAGCCCCAGCAGACCCACTAGAAGTAAGTGACTGTTTGGGCTGTCCTCTGAAGTGCTGGCTGATTTACAGGAACGGCTTGAGCTGGTGCAGGTATCATGCATGTCACTTTGTAGTCTGACAATTATGGGCTCGTTTTTGTGTTCCAGTAGATGTGTCTGAATGATTTACACTGTTAAATAGTAGAAGGAAATGTTAGATGCGTTTTTGGATATGGCATTCTTAGAAGGAAAGCCTTCCCTAGGGTTTGGTTTTTGTTTGTTTGTTGTTTTTTTTTCTCCACTGAAAGTATGTGGTCATTTTAATTTGTTGTTATACAAAGGGTAGGAAGTGGTTCATTTTAGTGACCTGACAACTTCTGTGAGCAGTATTCGGGCCGGTTGGTGCCAAGTGTATATATAGCTGTTAGATTAGAGAGTTGTACTATTCACTTTAATTGGACTCATATATGCACTTAAATATATGCCTAAGGTCCAGATTCTGAAACCAATTTGGCATGTGAATAACTCCATTGACTGCCAGATAATTGCTTCAAATACTTTAAGTTAAACATGCGGATGAACTTCTACAGGAAGAGGGATTGTTTTCTGGCATGCAAGTCAAGTGCTCCACATTAAAGCTCAGTGGGACTGGCCACGGGGCGAATATGTGGTCAGAATTTTTGCCTGTGAAAAGACACAACAACTATTCTTTGATCTTCTTTATTGGTATTTGGCATTAAATTCTCTAGCTGAAGAAAATAAATTTATTTCAGGAGATTTAAGACCTCAGAAGTGCTCACACATCTATTCTAGTGTCTCATATTGGTTGAGAAATTAGGGAGAAAAAAAATAAATCCCTGACCAGATATCCGAACGTACTTTATTTTTATGAGCATGTATCTTTTTTTCCAGTACAGTTCTCTTGATATATATCTATGTATATCTCTCTCTCTAACAGATCGCATGTTTATTTCATGACAATCCATAGAAACTTCTTGGAAATTATGATCTCTGACACTGACGTTATAAAAATGAGGGTTTAGCTGCTATTGTCCTTCATGGGCAAGACTCTGCACTTGAAAAAATAGAACAATTGCCAACTGATTTCCTAATTTCTCCGAATGGCTTATTCATTTTCTGTATTGCTTATTATGAACCCATTGTGCTAAAGTTTATTGCCTTGGGCCTGCAAGCACTTACCAGGGGCAATACTACTAATTATTCTAGTTCTTGTAAGTGAAGGGAGTTACTTAAACCCACTTCAACCTATGGTCAACTTTTGTGGTTTGTACTGGTTGTTTGTGTTACCATCTGTAAGATAATTAAAATCCTATTGTGTGTTCTATGTCTCAGATGGTACAAATAGAGATAGTTTGTTTATTTCAGTGTCCATTTACGTAATGCTTCAATTAAAACACAGACCAAGCAGGGTTAAATCAGATGTATGCTTCAGAATCTGCTGTCAGCAGGTGTAAAGGTACTGAAATACAAATACAACGTAAGAAAATGTTGCTGTTTCAGTTTCTTTACATGCACATGGCAGGGTGGATGGGAGTTTTGTACAATAATCTTGACTTGAAGAGAGGATGCCAAAGCATTAATTTTTTGAACATTTTTTTTCTTCAGTCAAGGCACATATTACTGACCAAAAAGAAGACTGTATCAGCCCATTCTCTGGAACAACAGATCCTCTCATTGGAAAGACAGAGACGAGAGGTAATCTTAAGTTTACTCTTAACCTTTACAGATACAACCTCTGAGACAGACATTACAATGTCAGTAATACGCCCAGGGCAGGAAATCACTGCATGTATTATCGCTGTTATTTACACTGTGTTTATGCTACAGTTGGTTTTTCTTGCCAGACCAGCAAGGCCTATGTTTTTTCTGTGGGAATCTCATCCTGCATTCTTGTGAGGCAATTTCTATGTGGAGACTTTCTGCTTTGCATTTCTTCACAGCCTGAAGTGTGCAAGCACTTAATATTATGTTTAAACTAGTTCCTGTAGTCCTACTTCTCTCTACCAAGCTAGACAGAGTGGTATTTGGAGAACTGTTCCGAAAAACAAATGATGACTTACTGTAACGTGGCTATGAACCTAGAAGAGCAGAGATTTATACAGTACAAAGGTCAAGCCTTCTTCATGATCACTATTGTAAAGGCCAAGGAACCAGTGTGAGTAGTAACCAGTGGTGTCTTGGTCACAGGTAGCAGCAAACTGGAAGCTATTCTTTTGCTGAACGACCCTATATCCTACAAAGCAAAATGCTTCAAAGGGACCTATTTGGCTTTCTCCAATAAAAATGCGCACATGTTGACTTCACTCCTACCACTTACATGTGTGGTGTTAGCTGATCTTCCCATCTTCCATGTGTATGCTTGCTTGGCTTAGTGGTACTGAGAAAGGCAAGCAGGGTTTCCACTGAGTAGTAATTGTGGTAAATAGGAGTCTTCAATTCACTTGTTTGAAGTCAGAGACCTTCTAGTTGGAACTTTAACTAACACAAAAGTCCTTGGCCATTTAGGCGTTGTAGCTTGGGATTTGTACAGTGTTCCAAATGATTCACCTGTAGCTTATTGTGTATTTGCATGTTTCCTGAATGTTACTTCCTGAACATTCATGTGCTTTAACTGAAATACCAAAGCACTGGCAGATGGCTGTAAAGTTTGCCAAACCTTAAACTCTTTTTTCCTGAAATGAGCTGTCCAGATAATGAGGGGGTTGTGAACACTCATAGCTGGAGGATTAGAATGCCAGTCTATTTTTTATTTATTGACAATGTAGAAAAAAGTTATTTACTATGACTTCTTGATAATTACAGCTTCTGGAGGTGAACAAGCAATGGGATAATCAATTTAGAAGTATGAAACAGCTTTATGAAAAAGAGGTAATGATATTGACTACTACTATTGGAATATGTGTGCTGGCTGCTGATAGTTAAGTCTGTGCTTAAGTATCAACCAGCCATAGCTATAGTAAGTATCTTAGGAGGGAAAGGCATCATGTTTGCTTTGTCTTTAGCTCATAAATTAAAAAAGCTTCATCACATGAAAGTGAAGCTAATGTATATATGATCTATCTAAAATAACTAGAGAAGCAGAGTGTCTCTAAAATAGCAGGGACCAGGGTGGACGTGACAGCAGAGAGCTTCATGGTGTCCCCAGGGTAATAAAAATTGCTCGTACTTCAGAGCACTATTAACTGAAAATTAGGCTGCAGTGCCTGGTGTGCCCAGCCACTGATCCGCATCATCACATATCTGTTGATTTTTGTCCCGGCTCTTGTTGCTGGCTTGTGAAGCCTGGAAGCTCACTGGGGCTCCCTGCAGTGGAGGAGCTCTCAGGTAAATGCTCCATGAATACTGCCTTCTATAAGCAGAGAAACTTTTTTACTTTTGAGAAATGGCTCTATACGAAAGCTTTTAATTAAAAAAAAAAATATTGTAAATAAATGCTTTTTATTTTCTTTTTTTGTTAAGATCCCATTGGCATAACTTTCATTCCTTTTTGCAGCTATATGGCATCTTTGCTGCAGGCATTATAATCAGCTGCCTAGTGAAGCTGACTGCTTCCAATTTTGCCTGGTATTCCAAAAGCCAAGTTGGTTCATTGACTGGCACTTCTGATCTCCTGTTTCCTTCTATGAAAAGGAAGTTTGCAGAATGACCTTGTGTGCTTATCAGGAAAATTTTCTCTCTAATATTTTCCAATAAGCTTTACTGAGATTGGATCATTTCTGAGACTTTTTTTTTGTCTTTCCCCAAAGAGAGTAGGCATTTAAATGGCTCTTCCTTGTTTAATATGGGGCTGTTGTATGCCTCTGGCTAGATCATTTGGATGTGCACCACTGCAGAGGGAGTCCAAATTGCAAAAGGAAAAAAAAAAAAAAAAAAGGAGAGACAGACCCATGGTAGCTGTCCTTTGGCAGCAAAACAGTGCGAGACCCAACTGAGTTAACATCAACAGAGAATTTTCCCAGGATCGTTAAGAGTCTCCACTGCACACAGAGCAGTGGAGCTTAGAGGTGGGGAGGAGAAAGTTAGTGGCTGAGGACTTTACATGCAACCAGATCCACTCCTTTACGCTGATCTGCTGAGAGCTGAAAGGATTTGAAGGCACCTTCGAGGTGCTGTGCCATTCAGGATCTCCAGTCAGCACATGATGGTCTGTCACTTGCTTTTCAGCTGGCAGAAATGAAAGCAAAACTGGATGCGTCAGAGAGAAGAGTCAGTGAGCTGGAGGAAGAGAGACATCGACAGCATCCAGAAGATGAGAGGCTACGGGCCCTGGGCAGAGAGAGGGCGTTGCAGGAAACGGTAGGAGGGTGCACTCTGTTACCCCGTTTGTGCTCAGCGTTGAACGCTCTCTTGCCTTTCCTCTTTCTCGTCTTGCAAGTGGCAGGGCGTGGGTTGTCGCACAGCCATGAGATGAGATTGTGGTGTTGAGTGCTCTTCAATATTGTACCCAAGGCAGTGGCTGATCTTCTGTCTGATCAGAGAACTATCGAGAGAGAGAGAGTCATTTCAGTAGAAACTGGCAGAGAGCACAGCATCAGGGTGTGTGGGGGAGTAAAGAGCAGGCTGATATGAATACTGCAGAGATTTCCTTCCTCGCTGTTCAGGTCGAGGTGAATTTCTTTGTGAGCAGAAGTGCTACAGTGATTTCAAATGGAATAGGAACGTCATTGCAGATGTTACACAAAGTGCTTGGCAAGAAATCATTGAAGGAATGAATTCAGCTCCAGACACCCATGTTTTGGTATTGACAATATAGGCTTTTATATGTGTGCTAGCTATCTCACTGCTCCCTAAATATTAGCAATGGAGTCAGTGCAGTTATTGGAGCTGCAGGTGCCTGGGCTGATCAGCTGCTCTAGAGTGACATTCACCTCACCCTGAGCGTGGTTGGGCACCTCTCTTAGAACTCCTTAGGCACCTGTAGGCGTTTGCATCTAAAGTTAGATCCCTAAGCTGCATTCCCACCACCGTAAAACCACCAGCCTGAGTGACTGGCATATATATGCCCCATGTATACACGAGACTTTGTGCTCTGTTCTACAAGCACCATAGAGTGGTGCTTCCTATTCCCACTCTGCTTTGTGGTGTCACACGCTTCATAACCTCTTGTGAGGGTTTCTGGATGGTGCTCTGATGGCTGAAGTCAGGCTTCTCTATTCACTTGATGACGTGAAACAAAGCTGAAAACAAGTGGCAGTCGCACTGCTTCCAGGCTTAGACAAGATCTAAGTTAGCTGCTGCAGGGAAAGAAATGCAAAGCCCTTAGCTTTCATCTTCATAAGCAGAACATTCGTCTTTCTTACTTATCAATTACGGTATGGTTTTAGCTAAATGTGTGCTTGATTTCCAACCAATAGGACCATTTACATGTTTTAAAGCAAATTATGTCGTTATGTACTTGCTGAATCACTGCTTAGATTTGCTCCGAGCGTGAATTCAATGCAAGACAATCCATCTTCCAGTTCATCTTACTAAGGTTTTTACTGCCTGCTCTTTAATATGATAGCTGTGAAAAATAGCGCTGGCTACCTTTTTGAAAAGATAAGGATGAGCAGTACACTCTCCCATTTTTTTTGCTACTTACCTGAATAATGGAGTAAATGGCAATGTAATCCAAAAGTCTCTTATGGGGATAGGTTAACCTGCATGGAACTTCAGCCTTAGATCAGCAGTTTCTTTACAAATTATATACTCAACCAGTAGTTGCTTCTATTTACTCTGAATTTCTTCAGGTTTTGGATGTCGTGCAGGGATGCAGGAGAGCTACACCTTTGCAGAGGTACCTGCTAAAAGTAGAGATTTTCGTATGAGCAACAAGGATTGTAACACCAATGTCAGCAGCTGTGCCAACTCAAGTTATGCTATGCTGCCCATGGGGCAAGATGAAAACAAACAAACAAAAAAAAGAAGTGCTAGGAGATGAATCAGAAAAATGCATAAAGATAAGTTCAGCTTGAAAGCATATAAGCAGGCTTGTTGCTTTAAAGTTCAGTAGATGCGGAAGAGGCCCAAGCTGACAGATCTACCAAGATAAGATTTTTCAGGGCTTTATGTGTGTGTTTGTTTTGGTTTTTTTCTGCAGCAACTAACATTCTTCATACCTACATTTGTTTTTTTATGTGTGTGTGTAAATATATATACATTTATTTAGTTATTTATTGTATTTCTTTTCTTCAAAGGTAACAACCCTTTCTTTTTAAAATGTTTTGCTTACCCTTCTGTAGTCACAGAGCTGGGATGGGCTGTACAGGGCAATTGCCAGAGCAAAGTAATAAGCTGTTTGTTCTCTACTCGCTTATCCAGTCCAGCAGCCTGACAATACATTTTAAATTTGTTTACTCAGAGTGGCAGTTCTCTGGATGCTCTGCTGAGCCATCAAAAACAACAGCACCAAACAACCCTCAGACAAGATTACATGCTGCTGCTGTCTTACAGAGCTCTTCTAAAATTTATTTAGTTTTCAATGCACCTGGAAATATGGCTCTCACAGTATGATGATGTGAGCTTTATCTGTCTCCGTGTCCTCCATGGCCCACAAAGAAAAACTGACTGTTTTGGAGATGGAATTATTTTTTGTTCTCCCTGGACATGACTCCGTACCCAGAGACAGGAATCAAAGACCAACCTGGAAAGTCTAGGTGCCATAACACCTAAGATTCAGTGTCGGATGAGAAGCAATAAGACATAAGAATTCAGATGGTTCAAAAACCTGAAAAAAAATGGAAATCTTTAGTTATAAATGGCTGTATGCCTGGAGGTGTCAGCCTCCAAGAAGGAGAATGTGTGCTAGGAGCTAGGAAAAGAAGATGGCAAAGGTGAAGAGAAGAGCATAACTAAAAGCCTGTATGGATTTTAGTGTTTTGTTTTGTTTTTCTTTAATATCTTAAAACATACGTGCACGTGCCAGCTCGAGCTAGCTCCTGAGTGAGTTCCTATACTTATTGCACAGATAGCCTGCTAATCTTTCCCAGTTTTCAGAGAGAATGAAATGTTCCAAGTAACTTAGGAACAAAGGAAAATAGGGCTACCTCATGCATAAGCAACAGTTTCTCAAGGGTGTTTTTCAGTGGCACAGTTACCACGGCTCTCATGAGCCCGAACTGTAAATGCCTAGTAGCTGGCTGCACAGAGATATACCTGTTGCACAGGAAAAAAAGCATTCATGTGGTGTCCTGTGCGTGTGGTTGCTTGATCTCATTTTTTTAATCATAAAACAGCTGCAGAAGAATAGTTGAAACACTTTTTTTTTTTTTTTTTTTTTGTAGAATGGACCATTTTGTTTCATATGTCTAAACAGCTTTGGTCTAAGACAGTCTTGCAAAAGTGGACTAGTGAGGAATGCATCACCCTGTGAGAGAAGCTTGCACAATGCCATTTACTTCGAGGTTTGATTCAGATCTTAGCTCCCTTCACTGTAAATTGAAAATAGCTCTGCTGAAAGCCGTAGGAGAAGTGAATCAAACTTTGCCAAATCTGTCCTAATAATACCAGTTACACCATCCAGAAAGACTAATGTGTTAATCCTATTGCAAGTAGAGACATCTTCCTGGTAGTTTGCTGGGGTGGCAACAGTGTTGGGTTGAGCTCAACAGTCCTGAACAGTCCTGGCAACAGGAAGGGTTGAGCTCAAGTCAACAACGCAACTGTGGTGGGGTCAAAGAAAATGGATTTTTAAACCTTGGTTGATATCTTGGTAAGTCTTGAGTGGACTGAGACCTGCCGCGATCTCCCGTGTAGTGGAAAAAGCCCTCAGATTATGTGATACTGAGATCTGGTTTTGTCTTTCATGTTGTATGACACCGGGAACAGCTGGGACTCCACCAGTGTTTAGCCCTGGCCTTGTGCTATGAATACATAAGAGCAATGCAGTTTTGGGATAATCATCTGTACGGTACTGATCTGCTTGACCTACCAGCTTTTCCATGCCTTTGTGCAACTGCAGACTGTAGAGAGCTGGGATTTAGTCTGGTGTGTTGTCTCTGTCTCATCATATGATGAGTGGTCAAAACAATTTCAACAGACTTTATCATATCTGAGTGTTACTAACCATCTGCCTTCCCATTGCCTCCCTTCCCAGCTGTTTTGGGGACAACAAAAATGCAGCACATCTGCCAGACAGCAGATATTCTGAAAATTCTTATTGAAAAATGGTTCCATCTGTATTTCAGCAGCATCTTTCTGTATTTTTACATCTCAGAAAGAAACAAAGGCCCTTAGTGAAGCTCTCCATCAAATGAAGGAAGAGAACAAGCTCCTGAAGCAGAAGAATGCCTCAATGGTCAGAAAGAAAGAACACTATGAGTGTGAAATAAGTCGTCTCAATAAGGTATGAACAAGAGTGAGCCACTGAGCAGGACCTCTTCCTTTAATTCTAGGGTGTCTGTTGTCAAGAAGTGACACTACCAGACGCTCATCTTTTCAATCCTGGGTGAACGACTTCTTCGTGATAGCAAAGTCATGATCACCCTTCAGGAGCTGGGGAAACGAGCAAGAAGTTACTTTAGCTAACGCCTGTGCGTGCTGTTCATGGCAGGTAGTAGAGTCGCATTATAAAGAGGAAAGTTAAGAGAATCTTTGCTTCTCCTGTGAAACCTTTTTGTGTGTCATATCTAAGCTCTTTCTACATTCTTCCTCCTCAGAACAAAAGGGAAATGTCACAAAGACACTTTCATATGCAGCCAGTGAAACACTGTGATTAAAAAAAAATTCAGACAGTTTAAAAACTATTGTTTTTCATATATTGTATTTGAGAATAATAGTTTCTCTTTGCAAGACATGCTCTTGTCTTACTTTTTATATACATACATATATGTATGTATATATTCATACATGTAAGTGTTGTGTATATACATCTCATTGAGGAAATTGTCATAAAATAGCTAAATGGGATTTTTTTTTTTAACTGAGGGAAAGTAAAGAATTTAACTGTGTTTAATCAGAAGATCACATAAAACAGTGGGTGTTTTCTAACAATTTTGTATTTTATGGTGAACCACAAACACTTCCTGAGGAAATGCACAGCAGTAACCATTGCTGTATAACTTCAAGTGATACACAAGCCAAGGGGCCATGATGTGCAGAAGTCAAGGCAAAAAAGTAATGTTGCCGTATTAAAAAATCTGACAGATCATATGATCTATGACTCTCTTTGAAATGCATGGACAGGACTTGCTCAAAGCCTCAGTGTAACTTTCATTCAAGATCTTGTTTGTAAAACAGCTTATTTCCATGTCTTATTTTGCTGTCTTATCTTACAGTGTGGTTGGAACTAAGACGAGTGGGTAAATAGACCGTTCTTTTAATTGAAACATCATTTTCATGTAACACACTTTCCCCCAAGTAATTCACTGATTTTCTGTGTATTCGTGTCCTTCAAATCTCATGTCATAAATGCATGTAAGACTGGAAGGGACACTCTGTAACCTTTTAAGTCTAGTCCCCTGCTATTGCAGGTTCAGTGACTTGAAGTTCTTACAAATTTTCTGAAATCAAACAACTTTCTCCTTGAAAATACTGAAGCTCCTTCTACTGTGCTTCTGTAGAATTCTTCTTTCATTAGATGCTTTCATCTGTTCCGATTGACCTGAATTTATTCTGGCCAGATGATACTCATTTGTTCTTCTGGTAGTAATGTTGAACAGATCTGCTTGGCTCCTTGTGTGGAGCAGATCTGTCCTCTCTGTGAAGCAGAACTGTCCTCTAGTGAAAATACAATTGCTCTCCGAGGC